CTGGATGGGGAGGAACAGACTCAGGCTCAACCCTTCCAAGACCGAGTGGCTGTGGCTGCCGGCGCCTCGGCATAGTCAGCTGACTCCATCGCTGACTATAGGGGGCGAAATTTTGGCTCCCTCGGAGAGGGTACGCAATCTGGGGGTCCTCCTGGACCCACGGCTGACACTGGAAGACCAGTTGTCAGCCGTGACCAGGAGGGCGTTTTATCAGGTACGCCTGATTTACCAGTTGCGGCCTTTTCTGGACCAGGACGCCTTGCGCACAGTCACCCATGCCCTCGTCACCTCCCGCCTGGACTACTGCAATGCTCTCTACATGGGGCTTCCCTTGAGGAGCACTCGGAGGCTCCAGCTAGTCCAGAATGCGGCCGCGCGGGCGGTGTTGGGAGGGACTCGTCGCTCCCATGTAACACCGTTGCTGCGCGAGCTGCACTGGCTGCCAGTGGCTTTCCGGGTGCGCTTCAAGGTGTTGGTTATCACCTTCAAAGCGCTCCATGGCATCGGACCTGGATATCTCCGAGACCGCCTTCTGCCTCAGATTACCTCCCATTGGCCGGTACGCTCCCACAGAGTGGGTCTCCTCAGGGTGCCGTCAGCCAGACAGTGCCGGCTGGTGGCCCCCAGGGGGAGGGCCTTCTCGGTGGGAGCTCCCACCCTCTGGAACGAACTACCCCCAGAGATCCGGGTGATCCCGGATCTCCCTTCCTTCCGCCGCGCCCTTAAGACATGGCTATTTCAACTAGCAGGACTGGCCTAAGGGGAAATTTTTAGCGGGGTTTTAAAAACAATTTTAAATTAACAAAGGCCAAATCTAATATCTCATTTTAATTATGTTTTTTAACGATAGTATTGGGGTATTTTTTGTATTTGTTTTTATCAGGCTGTCAGCCGCCCTGAGTCCGCAAGGAGAAGGGCGGGGTAAAAATTCAATTAAATAAATAAAATAAATAAATAAAATAAATAAATATGAATCAGTTGCCAAGCATCCGAATGTAAATCACATGACCTTGGGGATGCTGCAACAGTCATAAATGTGAAAAATGGTCATAAGTCACTTTTTTCAGTGCCATTGTAACTTTGAACAGTCACTAAGCAAACTGTTGTAAGTCAAG